CTATTGAATAAAATACTCTTTATCATATCAATAACAACTTTATGATTATACATTTTAAAGTCGACTAGTTGCCTTTAAAAGGCAACTGGATTTTAGAGTCAACTCCGACATATATATATATATAATTACAAAAGTTCGTACGCGAAAATAAAAGGTGTGGGTGTGGGCGTGGATACAACAGAATTTTAATATTAACACCCACGTCCACACCCCAGGTTTCATAACTCAGCTAGGGCTGCATAATGGCAAAATTTCATCGAAATTGGTGAAATCAATTGAGCACGTGATACGTCATTTCCGTCGTCCCTACGGTGGATTGACTCATAGGTAGATGAAGTTTCACTGGGTTAGATGCCGTAAATCCCGGGTGTGGTTTTGGGTGTGAGTGTAGGTATGTCTGTGCCTTACAGAAATGCTGAGTAGCCGTACCACATACTTCTGGATGCCTTCAGATAGGTGGCATTTGTATCATTTCTCGATGACGAAATATTGATATTTCAGATTTCAAGCGTTTCATGAATGGCTGTAAGAGCATCGAATTAGTAATAATAAAAATACAGCGATTGATGTGGATTGGCAGTGTGACACTTTTTCGTCGTATGGAATGGCGTATTCAATCCCAAGAAAAAAGATTTTTTTATTTGCTTTGTTGTTTTTTGTGCATTTTTATAATCGTTTGCGCTACTTATTATTCATTGATTGGGATGAGTGGTCTATCATCTGGTTCATATTATCCAATGAAAGAAATTGATGCAGAAACGGCAAGTTTTGTCTGTCTTCCAATCACTTCCAATAAAAGTGGAATGAAATTACTTGCTAGCAATGATCTTTATCTTCGATATTTAACTGAGTATGGATCCATTCCTGGCTGGGTTAATTACGGTATTTTTTATGTCTTATGGGTAATTATTCGGTTTCAATATGAAGAACTACATATAAACGATGGGGCTATTGGTGAAATAGGAGTGCATGCAGGTAAACTGACCTCTTATTTGTACTTATTGCGTCATCTAAATAAGAAGCAAAAGCTGTTTGCAATTGATGTTTTTGGGAAAAAGGAACTTAATATTGACAAATCTGGTGATGGAGACCGGAAAGTTTTTCTCTCCTACATTCAACGATATGCAAATGTTACTGCCGACGAAGTCAATATTTACGAAGGTAGCTCGCTTGATCTAAATTCAGATTTCTCAAAAAATCTGGAAGCGCAACGATGGTGGCAGACCACGATCAAGCGAGATAGAGGATGCCAATTAGTATCAATAGATGGTGGCCATACAACTTTGACCACTTATTCAGATATGTGTGTAATATCTAATTCTTTAGTCGATGGAGGAGTCGTCATGGTAGATGATATTGATAATCCAGGATGGCTAGGAGTGCGGGATGGCGTAAGTAAGTTCTTATGTGAAACATCGAATTATTTCAACATTAGGGAAAACCTGGATTTAACCGAGGCTGCTACGAAGAATGTCTATGAGCCTGACTTTAATTATTCATGTCGTATTGTAAAAGCAACCATGAAAACCATGAAATTTGGATGTAATTGTTATCGGTTGGCGCCTTTTCTGAAGTATGATAATAAACTGTTTCTAACAACTCCAAATTATTATGCTCATTATGTGCATTTGCTAAAAAAGATTAACGAAAACGGAACAAACTTAATAGCTTTCAATAAGTTACGATACACAGTTGGCAATATACCAGTTTGGGCAGACAGTGAGCTCAAGAAAGTGGATATTTTTGATAAACTGGTAAAACCTACTTGGTTATCAGAGATAGCGCATGCAACGACTCATTCTTGAAAGAGATACAATTTATTTTATATCGAGCTCCTGCTGTACATTCACAACTATTTAATCCTGGTACAGCAATTTAATCTTCTCACGTTGATTTTATCTTACTTTGTGACTACTCAATTCTCTTATGACTATTTAATCTTACTTTGTGACTACTCAATTCTCTTATGACTATTTAATCTTACTCTTCAACTATTTATTATTTCCATATGACTATGTAATCCTTGTACAGCTATTTAATCTTATCGACATTGATTATTATTTTACTTCGTAGCTGCTCAATTCTCCTATGACTATTTAAACTTACTCCTCAACTATTTATTATTTCCATATGACTATGTAATCCTTTTACGGCGATTTAAGCGGGTGTGAGTGTGGGCGTGGGTAGGTGGTGGGGTGTGAACCAAATCTAAATCGGCATGTTCGCGGACCGCCCACACCCACACCCTTAATTCGTCGGCATAGTTCTAGATTTAACAGAAAGAATCATACAGCATAAATCAATGGGCCATACGCTAGATATATTATTGTATTTGTATGATTTCTGTTCTGTTAATAATAAAAAGTTAGCCGAGGGATATTTAGCAAACGTTCGTGTCGCTCTATTGAAGTATATGGATGAGAACAAACATGCATCAAATATAAACGACAACCAAACTGTAGCAGGGTCATTCCACCAGAAATCGCCAGTCCATCCGGTGACCAAGCCTAAATTCCTAAACACTTTCAGGGTTTGTAGAGAATTTTTCGCTGATCATTTTGGCAATAAATTTTTCAAAATAAACTCTATTTTCGCAAAGGTAGAGGTCAAATACAAAAAAGGCACTTTTTCAAAAAAAATTGCATTTTTTTCGAAAAAAACGATGAAAGTTCCCCTTCCTTTACTCCAATTTTAAAACCAATCACATATTCAGATTCCTCGTGAAAAACTGCATCAGAATTCATAGGAATCAGACTACTTTTGAAAAAAAAAGACCCAATCGATTCAGCAGGAAAAACATTGTTTGAAAAATTTTCTCAAGAAGCTGTGATGAACCAGAATATTGGTGTTACCAGTTCGATACAGAAAATTTTTCTCTACAAGATGCACTACTTTTTTTTAGCCCCCACTTTAAATTTAGGAAACAAAACGTGTCCACAACACTTTAAACTGTATTTTTTCAGAAAATTTTTGATTAATTCATTCATAAAATCTGACCACTTGGTCCAATCACTTTTTACGACTTTCAGCACTTGTAGAGCTTTTTATGCTGATCATTTTCGTAATCAATTTTTCGATCTTCACTTTTATTTTCATTGCGATATGGACCAAATATTATCAATCACTATTACCTCTTTTTGAAATTATGCATAAAAAAAACGATATTTCTTTCTCAAAACAAACTGATAGCGTAATAATATTTATGGAAATTCAAAGACTACTTAGATATGCTGATTGCGCATTAAAAACTGCGCCAGGATTTCGGTGAAATTTATAAATTTTGACATATCCTGATGATGCCTGTCTGATCATACATGATACACAGGGGGGAAGAGAAATGATGAAATGAAGATTTCGAATTAAATAGAAAAGTAAATAATTCAAAATCAGAATGCCATTAATTCGATCGAGCACAATTTACTCTACAATATTCATTAATCAGTTTTATCCGCACATTTCATTTCGAAGGCAATAGTTGTTGAAAGCATCTATAAATAAGTGTCATGAGGTATGATTAGTAGAGATTTCTGTAAGCAAAACAAAATAGATGAAAAATATGCGAAAGATCGATTAGAATAGATGATTATGAATCATTTTTTTGTTCACGAATCGGAAATTTCCATTAACACAAATGAATTCCATTATAGACAAAACAATTCACTTATCGATTGATATCTAATCCAATCAAAACAGCTTTCTCTTCAAAGCGAAGCTATGACTAATAAATTCAATTTTCAAAGGCGTCTTAACGAAGCAAGCTATAAGTATCTATCCAACTACAGACTATAAACACTTATTTATAGATGTTTTCAACAACTATCCCAGGTCGAACATTTCGGCCAACGGATCCCGTAGGATACTCCAGGAAATATGTGGGAAAGTCGCCATATCCTGCAGGAAAACACGGAAAATCGCTGGAACATGGAACCAGTATTCCGGTCAAAAATACGGTCTAATTTTTCCGGTGGATTCCTGCCAAGTTCCGGTGATTTCAGGCAGGAATTGACCGGAAATCATCGGAAAAATTTCCAACCGGAATGCTGCTTCCATAAAATCAACGGAACTATCCGGAACCGACCGTTTCCTGGCCGGACTGTTCGACCTGGGTTTCCTATGTGACTGTGAGCAGGAGGTAAATTTTCCAGTCAAATTTTCAAGACCTCCATAATATTTTTGTTCTTCTTCAAAATTTCCTTCTTTTCCTGTTATAACAGCGATGTTATCATAAAGATTTGCTATGAGTTCATATTTATCTGGTGACATAAGTGCTGACGTCAAAGCCCATTGCAAATACTCCCGAGCAAAATTATATTGTTTTAAATGCGCATAGGCAATTCCAAGATTATACATTGATTCTTCTAAAGGTCGATGATTCTCTTGCTTCAATTTCAGTGCTTGCAGGTAATAATTTATAGCCGTCGTATAATCTCCGGCACTACTATAACATAAACCTAAATTGTGCAGAGCGGTTGCACGTTTTCCATCGTCTAGTTTGATATTTTCCAAAAACTTTTTGTAAAATTTCGCAGCTTTTCCATGATCACCCATAATATGTAAAAGAGCTCCTATAGATGTCAAAAATCGTTCATCTGTATCCCTAATACTTCGATAAGTGTAATTTGTTAGCGAAGTGAGCTGTGGATCATTGTTACTTGTTAATACTAAATGAACACAAGGAATTCCATTATCTGTAGGGGTGTGGGGGGTTTCCGTTTTCTCTTTACCCACACCCACACCCAACCTCAATTTAGTGTTCAATTGATCCTGAATATAACAGTTCGAAGTCGATTATTATGTTCTGCTGCCTGTAATCAAATTCCATCTTGTCGCATATTCGACTATGATTCAAATTCACAATGTTATCGTCATTTCGAATCCGATCTCACTAATGGATCACACGGTTTATCAGTCTCTCCAAAATCTATTGTTGGTATTCTCATGCTTTCAACATCACTGTTCACACCGTTGTGCAATCAATCGTGTGGATCGTGTCCAGAAAATCGGTATCAACTTTGTTCTTTAAGCACAAACACATGCCAATGTCCAGCGAAAACTTATTCGAATGGAAGCATGTGTGCATTACAATTATTTCAAAATATGACTTGCAATCAAATCGACGTTTGTCGAATCGATTTAAATCTGAGTTATGCTATTGATTGTTATTGTAAGTTTACCAAATGTTTATCAGGCACCGATTACATTAGGTTAGCCCATTCTCTGTTATGGTCAAGACTGATTTTCATAGGAACACAACATTCAGAAAAAAAGTACAGACATTCGATTAGATCGCCATTATCACCATTTAAAGTCGCTTAAACATTGATTGAAATAGATAAAGTTCGATGATGAAATGAAAAGCAGTTTGTATAAATATTTTTCTATCAAAGGATCCTGTTTTGCTATTTTATATACTAAGATAGGGGAATAATAAAATAGGTCAAATTAGTAGACAATAAAATTCTATCATGAATTCTGCAACTAGTAATCTATTGCTTTTAAGAATAAAAAACAATATTAGTTATATTGACTTTTTTGTTTTTATCATACTTTTAGGTGCGACAAGCACAACATCCAATGTGATCACCGCTGTAGGATCGTGTAATGGATCTTGCACAGAAGTTTTGAGTAAAAATCTAACTACACTGCATGTTCAAGCAGGAATATTTGTATCCAGCAATGGAACACTATATGTAGCCGATGGTCTGCCAGTAAATAAAATTTTTGCGCTCGAGCCCAATCAGCAAATAGGTCAATCGCTGGTAACGTTTGCTGATTGGCCGACATTTATTTATGTTGAAAATAAAACATCAAATATTTATACGACTGTTCGCAACTTGAACTTTCTATAAGTCTGGTCGTCTAATGCCACTATTCCACCAAGTGGAATCACGGGTAGTTGTGCTCTGAACAAATTGTCTGGACCCAATAATTTTGCTTTTGATTCTTTTGGTAATATATATATTTCCAGTAGTTTGTGTCATTTAGTAGCGCAATGGGCTCTCAATGCTACAAATGGAACACTTGTGACCGGCTCACCGTTAGGAACATTAGGTTCAACGAATCTACTTTTAAACCAACCTTATGGTCTCGCTCTCTATGAATCATTGTCAATATTATACGTATCTAATCGCAACAATAATCGTATACAAAAGTTCATTTTAGGCAATTTGACAGGAGTCACAATAGCTGGTGGCAATGATGCTGGCTCCACATCTAATCAACTTAATCGTCCAACGACGATTATTCTGCCTCATAACAACAGCGAATTATATATTTGTGACACTTCTAATAATCAAATTCAAAAGTGGACAATGGGTGCATCATCTAGCATCACTATAGCCGGAAGTGTCAGTGGTCTAGGAGATAGTACATTATATTTACTCAATTTGCCTTATGATATATGGATAGATTTGGACGAAACTTACCTGCTTATATCAGATTCTTCTAATTGCCTTGCACAACGGTATACGCTTCGCTAAAAGAAAATTCACACATCGTCCTTCTTATATCAATCAAATATCATACATACTTATAAATGAAAACATGACAAGATTTTTCTTTCGTGTTGTTCATACACATGCACTTCGAAGAGTATGGCTTTTAATAAGCATGCACTGAATGCAAATATTCGAATTTGAATATCGACAACCTTTAGATATTCAATGCAGATATGATGAGATTAAGACCCTCATTGAGACTGAGAAACCTGTATTTTCTTTGTCTATAATATAGGATTAAGCCGCCATGGTTGAATGGATATGTTATTCGAGACATATTTGCTATGTTCAAACCACAGTATCACCAACCATGGCATAAGCCTGAACAAGTTACTAATGGCTGAGTGTTTCGGATGACTCATCCGATAGCGTATTAACTATATCATTAGTCGGTATGCAAAGTCAAAACACAACTTTAACATAGATGTCACAGCCACGCGATCCTATGTTGGCCACCAATCCATGCTCATCAACGGGGGAAGCGTTGGGCGAACGGAGGACGGATATCGTCGTCTGTAAAAGAGAAAAAGGCGATAGAACCTGGCTGCTTCTGGACCCTTTAGCGCCGGTCCCAATGGGCGATAAGAGTATGGAAGATATTAATTAATAATTAATAATATACGA